ATTTCCTCAAATAATTCAAAATACTAAAATAAAAAAAAAAACTCTCAACAACATTTCAGCTTTACGAAAATTCTCAATTCAAAGAAAAAACAATAAAAAATTTATGTTTCAAAAAAAAAATTGAAATACCTGTTGGATGATTTTGCGCTTGTTATGACCGGCGGCTAGATCATCAAGATTGACGATTTTCTTAATATTAGTCTGCATATCGCGAACGAGCTTGAATTGAACATCGGACTGGAGAAGAGCCCTCGTGATTTCGTTCAGGCATTCGTTCAAAACCTTCTCGTCGATTATCGTCGCATTGCTCATCTGCTGTATCGCCCGGGAGATACTCCCTCCTAATTGTGCTAACACCATTTTCGCTTGATTTTGCTTGCGGAAATCAAAGAGATTATTCTTTCTTGAGAGATTTTGAGAATTGAGGGTTTCTAGTTTCTGAGAAATCTGACTCGAGGGAAGAAAAGGGGAGATGAAAATCCTAGTCCAGGGGAAAACAGCAACCGGAAATGATTGATTTGGGCCGGGTTTTGGGCTGACGTTTCTGCACATTTAGACCACCCGGCCTAAGCTTGGTTTAGTCTATTTTGATTAGCATATTAAATTAAGGTATAAGGCTTTAAATAAATTTTTATTTTTTTAATATGTTTAATTAAATTTTTATATTTTTATTTATAATTAAATAAAAAATTTTAATTAATAATTAATTAATTACTATTAATCAAAATACCACTCATTTGTTATATAAAGATTAAAATTTTTATATAATCATATAATCATGTTATACCAACATATTAGTTAATGTAATTAATCAATTATTAATTATAAAAATTTATTTAATTTAAAATAAAATTATAAATATTTAATTAAATGTAATAAAAAAATAAAATTTTAAAATTTTTGAATAACAAGATTAATTCAAGTTTAAAGAATATTTTCTTCTCAAGTTGGAAAGATTAGATTTGGAAGGAAGGTAAAAGTGCGAATTCATCCATTTTACTTTCTCTTCTTATATTGCTAAGGAAGAGAAGGAAAAAAACAATATTTTTCTTTCGGTCACTTTTCCTTTCTTCTTTTTTCTTTCCTATCAAAAGATTAGATTAATATGTTTGGTTTGATTTTTTTAAAATTTAAAAATTATTATGAAACTTTTATAGAAAATAATAACTTTCAAAATTAAGTTAAAATTGTTTCGCATATTTACTTTTATAAGTTTTTTTTATTTATAAGCTGTTTGAAAAAATAATGCATATAATTTTTAATTTTAGTTAAAATTATCATAAAAGGTAATTGCTAGGTCTTCGTTTTTTTTTTTTCTTAATACTCTTTGCAGAGAGAGATAGAAGAGATAGATATCGCGATTTGCGTTAGAAAAAAATAATTTGTAAAAAGAGGGAGAGGAAAAGGAGATCTATTGAGAAACGAGATATTTTTTGAAATGATAATATTATGATTATTTTTAATAAATAAGGATATTTTTAAAATAGAAAAAAAAAATTCAAAAGTTGACGTGTTTTTAAAAGAACTTGAAACTCTTGTTTCTTTTAGATTTTTTTTAAAAAAAAGTTATTTTTTTAAAAGCTTCTCAAAATTCTATTTTGTTTGATTCTTGTTTTTCAAAAAATAAATAAATTGAACAAAACTAAGCAAAACAAGCACTAAAAGTTCCTAATAATCATTTCAAACTCTTCTCTCGAAATAGCTAAATAGCATCTATACATGTAATATATAATCATGCACTAAATTAACTTTATAATTTTGACAAAAGAAAAATCCGACGCTATTTGATAAGAAGGAAGAGAAATAGAAGGAAAGAAGAAAGGTGAGAAAAGAAAAAAAAGTATAATATCTAAAAAAAATCTAAATTATTTAAAAAAATTTAAATAAACTTTTATATTTTATTACATTCAATTAAAGTCTTATATTTTCATTTTCAACCGAATAAGCCCTTATATTTTTTTTATAGAGAATGAAATGCTTATTGTCACTATTGAAAAAAAAAAAAACTTTACAAGGAACAAATGTTAGGGTTGTTGAAATCACCGATTACAGTTACTTATTATGTATTTTGTGTATTACTAAGTTGTGTGTTACAATCTACATTCGCAACTCTTTAATAGATTACTATTAAATAATTATATAATTTTTGATTTTTTTGTACACATTGCAATTGATAAATAATTTTATAAATACTCATGTAAAGTGAGTAGCATATGATTATTGAAATGTAAATATATTTCAATAATATTGGTTTACTTATATTACTGGAGAATATCACACAGTATACTCTAAGAGCATTTGGCATAATGCTAATGAGGAACATTTCTTATAATTAAATTACAAGAGTCATACTCTAGGAAAATGGAAATTAGTATTTCCTATAAATATTTTCTGAATCGGAGTAGATAAACTCTAACTTTTATGACTAAAGCTGTTATTAAAAAAAAATATTTTAATAATTAATATTTAAATACTATATTATTTTTATCATGTTATTATTTATATGTTAAACGTTAAAGTTAAAAAATTAAAATTATCTTAAAAATAAGATAAATTTGTTTAATTTGATATTTTCATAGATAAGGACAATTTAGTAAAATTATATTACATTCTTAGTAAATATTTTCAAATCAAACACTGCAATGTAATCTTTTTAATAATCACATTGCTTATAATCATCACTTTTTTATAATATATCAAACTCAATAATCACATTTTTTTGCAAAATACCAAATGATCACTTAGTGGTTTCTATAATAACTATTTTGAGGTTTTCTCTCAAAATAGCTAAATAGTATATGTGATTACTATGAAAGATGAAAAAAATATAAAATAAACTAGAGGTAAAAATTATAAATCAAAATTTTAATTTAAGCAAAAAAAGTGTTGACAAAAATAATTAGATTACAATTATTTGAAATTTGGGGATGATATTTGATAAAGAAATGTATTTAAATTTTTGTAATTTTTGTATTATCAATTATTTATGATTTTTCCAAGTGCTATATCCATTTTATGATTGTTTATTAATTTATTTGTATCTTTAGATTTATTTTATTTAATACATATACATACATATATATATTTATGTTAGTTGTAAAGGAAGTGGATGGAGATTTTACTAACTAATATTTTTATTTTCATTTTTTTAAGGTTTCATGGAGATTTTTCAGATATAATGTTAGTTCTTTACTCTAAATTTTTTCTTCCATAAGATAATTATTTTATTTTTTTGGGTTTTTTTATTATGTTTTCTTGAAATTTTATTTTCTTTTTTATGTCAAATTTAATTCAATGAAATAATATGAGTAAAAAAATCTAGTATTTTTCAATTATAAGAATATTAAAAAGTAAAATAGCATTATTTAACATAAACGAAAATAAAATAATTATAGAAAAAAAAAAGAAAAAATGGAAAGCCAAGAGAAGGAGAGCACGCCAGGTGTAAATTTCACACGCTTCACCTATCTGCTCCGCCCCCATCAAAGTGCATTAAACAAAAAATGGCAGCTTCAACCCTGGCAAGCGGATTCCCGAAGCTCTGCTACTCCACCCCAAGTCACTGCCGATTACATCCCGCTACTAAGCTTCAAGACACAGCAAAGTTTCTCGTCGACGCCAAATTCTGCTCTTCAACCACCTCCTGTCAACGCTCATTTCGCATTCGAGCTGTTGACTCCCAAGCAGAGGAAGAAAATCCAAGCTTGGATGAACCCAATGCTGGTTTCATACCTCAGGTCAGTTTCTTAATCTTTTTTTTTTGTTTTTTCTTGTCTGAAGAAATATGGGTATTCTGTAAAAATCCAAAATTTATCGTCCTTTAATGTACTTCAGTTGAATTCTATATAAATCATTTGCTTTCTTTTCCTGTCTTGAATTACTGTCTAGTTGTTTCCAAGCTGTGGTTGATGCTTTGGGTAGCGAAAGGGTCTTCATCTATCAAGCAAGGGCATGGTATTCAATAATTTGGCATTAGATTGCAGCTTTTGAAACCAAATAATGAC